TTATTTTATTAATATTATAATATAATAATTATAAAAAAAAATATAAAATATATATATATATTAATTTTATATTGTAATTATAATATAATAATATATATAATATATTAATAAATATTATAATATATATGGTGTCATATAGAATTACCGGTTAAACAATTTTGATTATAAGTTCTGAGACTTTGAATATAATCTAGTAAAATAATGAAAAGATTTTTGATACAATTGTTTATTTGTTTCTCTCACCGTGTTAGAACGTTTGATTATTTTCTCTTTTCCATCCTCCTCGAAACAATTGAGTTGTTGTAATGCCGCTTCTACACTTAGGACATTCCAATTGGACATTCTTCGTATATCCATCGATGACACGCACGCGTTGAGTTTGATTTAAAAAAAAATCAAATATTAAAACGAAAGTATGAAAGTATAGAAAAAAAGAAGTAATAAATTATAGTTAATCGCTATATATAATATAATCACTGATTATAAATTTGATGAAAATTTTCTTTTTAATCTAACACAAATATTATAAATAACAACAACAACAACAACAAAATGAAATTTGTTTGGAATTTTTGTAAATGTCCTTATTCCTCAAATTTTGATCTCTCTCTTTTTTTTCTTTCTTTTTTTTTCTTTTGATAATTCAATATGAACAAAATGTTGTCGCGACTGAAACAGAAGTGGTGGACCTACTCGGTCATCCTGACATTAACTCGTACTAATCGAATTTAAGTAAGCTCCTGTGCCTGTTAACCGACAGTTCGTAGAGGAGAAAAATGTAACTAAAATAATCTCGAAAGTTTCTCTGCTTACTCGAAATAGAATGACTGGAGTGGCTGTGTATGATGCCATGTGGGAGTTGTACAGCCAGTAGAGGGCAATCCCAACATAAACTCAAAAACTATTTCAACTGTGTCGAAAAAAACTATATTTTCCAAAAGGGTTTATACGTTAATCTTCGAAAACATCGAATTTTATACCTCATACTTTCTATTTCTACCTCTGACGTTTCTATTAAATTCTTTTTATTTAATTAAACCGCTCAATTTTCATATGCTGCGTCCGCCATTGTTATTTCATGCCGGTATATTTTTGTTTCTTTTCTTTTTCTTTTTTTACGTCTAACATGACATCATATTTAAAAGAATATTAATATTTTCTTATAGGAAAAATACACACGTAAATGATTTGATTTTTATTTGATTTATTTTATGAAATAATTATTAATTGTAATTGATACTCTATTCGTTGTAATAGAAAAAATAGTAAGTAAAAAAAATTGTATTTGGATTAGAAGAAAATGATAATAAAAGTCAAGATAAATATGAGATAAAGATTACAAAGCTATATATTTTTATTAAAGTTTTATTAGATTGTTGATTAAATCAGAAATTAGGAAGAATTAAGGAAATATATTTCTATACTACAGGTGGTTTAAACTACTTGTTCGAGAATCAAACCCGAGTGTTTTGGCTTGCAGCCACTTAGAACTTGATTAATTAGTTCCACCCATTGCACGGATGAACAAAAAGTACAAACTTCTAATCCTTTTTTTATGTCCAAAAGATGGAATTATGAATTAGTATCAAAGCTCGGTAATGAAGAAATCTATCAAAGTTGATAGATATTATCGTTTCCTATATTAACGACGTTACTGATAAGTTACCGACAGTCGGTATTAAACATTCTAATAAAAATCTGTAATTTTTTTGTAAATCGACTCTTCGATCAAATTATGAAATCAATTAAATCATTTGTTAAACGGGATATTTTACTCGACAATACTAACGTGTCATTGTTATATAACGCATACTTAAAAACATTGTTAAATGTTTAAATAACATTTTTATACGGTATAAATGTTTAACTTGAAATACTTGCAAAAGAAAATAATAAATCGTATCTAATAAATTTCTTTTGTTTTCCTAGTTGTTTTCGCGAAGAATTATGATATTCATATCTTTGTTTCTTTAGGAATGTAAATTTATTCTTAGTAAATGTAAATTTGCTATTGTTATATCCTAGCTTATTTGAAAGAAGATAATGAATATATATATGTATATAATCAATACACATATGTATCTTTCCGATAAAAAATATTGATATTAAAACAAAAAAAAAAGGTACATGTTTTTTATATTCTTATCGTTCGCGAATAACACGAAAATAACAAGAGAAAGTGTACGTCGATTATTATCGATAATGATAATGATAAATATTTTGCAGATCACATTTTTCTGGAAAATACTTTATTGAAGAGAAATACATTCGACGACGACAACGAAAAAAGAAATAAATGAATAAAGAAAGAAAAGAAAGAAAAGATAGAGAGAGAGAGAGAGAGAGAAACAATTAATCATGAATTGTTTTCATAGTTCATATGGTTAAGGATCCATTGCGCCTGTCTCGAAATCTTCGATTAAAAAAAGAAAAAGATCTTATCTATCGGAGTTGTTCGAGTGTAACAACGTAAGATAAAATTTATCTTCCGATAAATTCGAACGAATAAAAGAGACAGACCATTTGTGGTGTAAGAAGGATGTGATGACATTAATCCGAGAACAAGAGGAAGATGGGAAAAGAAGATATAATCGGATATCGGTTAGGGTTGTCCGTTAACGAAGACAAAAGTAATCGTATAGTCGCGATTATCGTGTCGCACAGCGTTCATTTAGTACGCTAAAGCGGGGTTTTTTTTTTAATATTTTTCATTTTTATTATTTCAATTTTCTTTTCTTTGACTAGTTTTTTTTGTTTTTAAGTGCCAAAAATATACATATACATATATATATATGTGTCGATACTAGGAGAATAACCGAATAAAACTGAAACAATAACGGCAAGAGAATAACAAGAAGAAGAAGTACGCAATTACAGAAGCATACAACTACTACAATAAAACAGTAGAGAACCAGTAGAGTAGCAGTGGTAGCAGTCAAAGTAGTTCTGCAACGGCAGCAGCGCCACTCTATCGATTTCTTTCATAAACGGTCGTAGTACTTATAGTAGGAATAGCAACAAAAAAAAAACATAAAAAGAAAACTCTATACTATTATTTCCCTCCTTTTTCTTTTACGCCGCTTATTGGCCTCCCACTTCCCCCTCTTTTCCTCTTACATCACACTCATACGCTCGACTCATTCGTTTACTTCTATCCACCATTTTATATCTCTTTCTCCTTTCTTCTTATATATATATATATATATACTTGCTCGTTCCATCTCATACTTTCTCTCTTTCTCTCTCTCTCTCTCTCTCTCTTTCTGTCTCGTTGTTGCTTTTCTCAATTTTCTTTTTCTTTCTCTCTCTCTCTCTCTCGTTCTCCCCACTATTGATGGGACATGCTCTAAACATGGCGGATGGTATAAAAAGGTCCGCTTGATACGGGATGCGATCAGTCTAAGTCGTGTCTAATTGCAGTGTTGTTTGATTATTCAACATATTTTTCGAGTGTTATTATACCTCTTGTTAACCTTACTCATTTTCTTTTTTTTTTCTTTTAATCTTTTTCTTCTAATTCTTATTCTTCTTTGTGTGGTGTTTCCTCAAAGGATCAACACGAAGTTGAATTTTATTGAAAAGAAAGAAAGAGGGACAGAAAATAAATAATATATTCGAGGAATACAACGAAATAAAAAGAAAGAAAGACATTTTATCATCTTCGGTATCAAACGATAAAGAAAAAAAAGAAAAATAAAAATAAAAAAAAAAGAGAGAAAGATAAAGATAGAAAAAGTGGTGTCCTATGCGTTTGCTTGAGATAAATAGAAAAACTTTGGAAGGAAACGTTGAAGGAGGAGGAGGAGGAAAAGGAGGAGGAGGAGGAGGAGGAGGAATAGGCGGGCATATATGAAAACTTACCGCGAGGATAATCGTCAATATTTTAGGGTTACCTCGATCATCATCGTCATGAAGTAAAATAACCGAAGGGAAGGACTACCAAAATATTAATTTCCTCTTAACGAGGAAAGTGACAAGAGAAAAATACGCCGGCCAAGAGGCGCGGCAACGAATTCAGCTCCAAGCGACCGAACTGAGTCCTCAGTGTAGGCTAGTCGGCTCGCTCAAGGTGCTCCCATAGTTTTCCAAAGGTGCGAGGGGGGTTTCATATTTAGGTGTTCATTGATGAACCTTTTTTTCTTTTTTAAATACCACCCTTACTTTTTCTATTTAACTACCTTTTCTTTTTCCTTTATCTTTTAACATTATTCACTTCCGGTTCCTTCTTTTTAGGTATCCCTATTCTGTTGGTTGATTGGTTGGTTGTGTTGATGATGCTATGATATAACATAACCTTACTCTTTCTGTCTTCTCTCTTTTGTTTTTCATTTTCTTCTTCTTCTTCTTCTTCTTCTTCTTCTTCTTCTTTTTATTCTTTTTATTCTTATTCTTATTCTTCTTTTATTTTGTTGTTTGGACTCTTAATTCAAAAGAGAGAACAAAAATTGTCATATGTTTTACAGAAATCCATGGTATTTTTATTTTTTTTAGGCTTATCCTACCTGACTCTAACGAAAATAAAACAAAAAACGAAAACTATTATATAACTAAAAGAGATTAATACAACAAGAACAACGAAAAGATAATTTTTGTAAATTTGATTTCTTCTTCATCGAAGTGTCAAACTAAGATTGATGTTGAAATAACACGAGGAAGTTGTTTGTTATTATACGGTGAAAGAATTTTAATTCCTACTGTGATATCATTATAATAATAATAATAATATAATAATAATAATATTATAATAATAAATAATAAGAATATTTTTTGGAGAAAAAAAAATAAAAAAAAGGGAGAAAAAAAAGAAGAAAGAAACAACAGTTATACAAATTAACAAACGCCGTAGTGAGAACAATTAAAACTCACCGGTGGCTATAGTAAAAGAAAAAAGGAAAAACAAAACAAAAATGGCGGTAAACACGTGCGCTCAAAATTGTACCGAGGATGTAACCACCGGATTCCTTTTCGAAATGATTTCTGGCGATATTTCGTTCTCCTGGAACGAATATTCCTACTTCATAGCATACAATCCTTGGTTCTTTTCAATGATTGGCAGTACCATGGTTGGGCTTGCTGGTATATTACCACTTTTGGTCATCCCAATTGAAGAAGGAGCTGATCTCAAGAATGGAGGTAATTTATTATTATTATTATTAATATTATTATTATTATTATTATTGAATTCCTTTTTAGTAGCCACGGTTATACTTGGTTACAACATTCATACGGATTTTTTGTTGTCAACCGAGTATAAATAGGTGTATAATATTAATGTGTTGTTAGTTGAATTCATTATGCAGTTTTTAATTACTTCCATTGTTGTTTTGTTATGTAAAAACAACCCAAAAAACAAATGCGTACATTTTCATTCAATTCGTTTGTCCACCATTTGCATAGAATTATTTCAATTTTCCCGCTTTATTGTTATTGATCAATAACTGTGATGCTATTGGTGAAATATTTTGCATACTGTTTGGTGGGATATTTTTGTGACTAGATTCGATTAGGGATGTTTCAAAATATGTTTATCGATAATTCCCAAAGTTGCAAGCTTCAAAGTTATTGTTAATTATTCTGAATCATCTAGTAGAATATTTTTGGCGTTAGATTTTGGCAAGAGTGAGTAACTCGTCATTGGAAATCCATCGTAATAAATAATTCGAGTGATTCATTTATAATTGAACGGACAATGGAACGCTTTTTCACCGCCCAAATTTAGGAAAAGGTATTTTAATTAAAGTACATTAGTATTTCAAACAATAACTCATATAACATTTTATACCGGATGTTTTTTATTCAATTGCTGAATATTTCCGATCAGTAAATTGTTTCTTTTAGGGTATAAAAACAGTTGATCTTGAAAGTTCTTCTTTGTCTACATGTTGATCGTGTTTCAGTTAAGATACTGCACCATAATGTGCAATGTTAATTTGCTGACGAAATCATTCTTGAAATGTTGCAACAGGGTTGTTATTCTTTTCAAATATTTTTATCACGAATGCTTGATATATTACAATTAACTGTTCCTTTAGCATTGCCAATTATAAATGGCGTCTGTTATTCAAAGAAAATTATTCTATTATTAATTATTAATTATTAGTAAATTATATATATACATATTATTCTAATTTGATCGAGTCAAAATGTAATAATTTTTTTCTCGGCAAATAAATATAAATTTTTATTTAAGAACATTTTTCAATGATCGTAGAGAAATGACAACCATTTAAAGATATTTTTCATATTTTCTATTGTTCGAATATATTTTGAAATATTTCAAAAATGTTTTTCCCACACTTATTGTCCAATGGAGGAATCCCAGCTGTAACAGAAGTTTCTTACCAGAGGGCGCCTTTGTTCTCTCGTGAAATATGACGTAAGCTATTTTTAGGGTCAAGCATACTGGATAGATGGATGGATGGATGGATGTGGATGGTAGTTAGCTTAGCTGGCATAATCTTATTTTTTGTATTCTTTAGGAAAAATTTCTTGTGGTCGATGACAAAGTCTCTTGCTGTAGAATTTCACTTTCAATTGATGACTAAAAAAATAACACTTAGAGATTAGATTCGAATTAAAATAAACAAACAAACATTTACTTTCCTTCATTGAAATGATTTTTTAATGCCACGTAATATTTACACAAATTACATATTTGTTTCCAAAGTTCTTTTGAGTCTAGTTAGGCTAATTTTCTTCATATTTCAAACAAAAGAAAAAAGCTCTTAAACATTTGTAGTTTTGTAATACGAAAAAAAAAATAAAATAAAATAAAACAAGATTGTATAAAATAATCAGATAAAGTCAATTGAATTGTAGAATCGTAATAACTAATAACTTTGCCTTTTGTAACAGTTTATATACAGTAATACCATACTTTCACGTTGCATCAATTTTCTTGTAGATGCAACAAAAACATTTGGCTAGAAATATCTTTAGACTTAAGAATATTTATTTTTCTTTTTTTTTCTTTGATATGATCCAATTCTCAGAATCTTTTTGTTTCTGGTGAAAGTGTTTGCAATAGAAATTATTATTGTATACAATCTATACTCAGTAATGTGACTTCACCATATAAACTACGCATAAAAGTATTATCCTCGTGCCAATTTATTATATTGCTATATACTGTATAAATCTTTTTTTAGTTTTTAACATTTAAATATATATAAATATAAAATTTAATTTTAATATTAAAAGAGCTTTTGTAACTTTTGAAAAATATTCTTTTTCTTTTACGATTAAAACATCAATTTAATTTTAATATTGTTATATAAATAAATATATATTATAATAATAATCTCGTTGATTTAATCTATTGTAAAAGATAATCAAAATCTACTAATCTTTGAACATATCAATCAAAATAATGGCCAGAACAAATACAAATTTGTCGATAAATTTCTTTTCAAGTGTTGATCAAGTTTGAAATGTTAACTTTTAAAAAAAAAAAAAAATATTACAAAAAGGGGAAAAACTTCATGATATTTCAAGTCTGATGTGAAGAGGGGGGTTGAAGGGGGGGAGTAGAGGGGACACAAAATGATAAGAGAAAGTACGTGGAAAAGAGAAAATCATCGTCATCCATATATCGCGAGAGAATAATTTTTATAATTAATATAACAATTTAATTAAATAAAAAAAAAAGGTATTTTTTTTCTTTTCTTTTCTTTCTTTCTTTCCTTCTTTTCGGTCACGTCAGAAACAATATCGTTTTTTAATAATATATATATTTTATTTTTATTTTTTTGATTATCTATCTTAGATAAGATTGCCAACGCCAATCAGTTAACTATGACGCAAATGTATTTGCAATTAGACAAAAAACAAAAAACAAAATTACGATTGAAAATGAAATGTTTCCTCTCTTTCTTTCTTTCTTTCTTTCTTTCTATTTTTGTTTTTTTTTCTCTTCAAATCTAACACGTGTTACTAACTCTATTTTATAATATTGTTCTACATTTTTTTTTTTTATTCTCTTTACTATTATTATTATTATTATTATTATTTTTATTATTATTATTATTAACGAGACGATTAGAAGAATCTTTTTTTTCTTTTTGGTTTTTTTTTTTTTCTTATTGAAACTTGTTAGATAATTATTCGCCTTTTTTTTCAAGATAATGATCTGTATGATGACGAATAACATAATCTTATATATAGATAGGTAGATAGATAGATAGATAAAGATGGTATCATTACAGATATATGTTAACCTTTTAAAATTATGCGGTTAGCCGACAACTCTAATCATTCGCCTTTCATTGCTACCGTTGCTAGTTACAAAGTTAATACTACGACAATATCAGTATCATGACTTTATCGAGCATTCTAAATGAAACTAATATACTCTTACTATTATCATTTAATATCGCATGATCATTGCGTCAGTTATATTTTATAAATTCAAATTATAAAATCACTTTGTTTAATTGTTCAACATAAAAAAAAAAGAAAAAGAAAAAAAAACACATTTACACCGCAACTTCTACTACTTATTTACAATTATGTTCTTTTTATTTAACACTAGATATACCACCAGTTTATTTTTTTTTTTTTTTAGTATACCTATTTCTACCACCACACTAATCAAAATGACTGGTGTATGAAACAAAAAAAAATGTTTAACAGTAATTTATAGACATTTTGAAATAACAAAATGATTAATTATTTATAGAAATTAAATGTTACATGTGTGAAGTAGATATTTTGAATTAAAATGGCCCAATCGACCAATCAAAATGACTAGTTTTGGTATATCTAATGTTAACACTGTATATAGTTGTAAGATAACAAATTGAAGATATAATTATACAGTATTATTATTTGCTTTACCATGGATGTTAATACGAACTTTGATCTTAGATCATGAAGTAATCTCGTTGTAACATTTTATTTTATCACAAACATTTTCTTTTTTTTTTTTTCTTCATTTGACGACATTTTCTTCATTTTGATTAACTTTGAACTTTCTCACGTTTTTTTCTCTGTTGATTTGATAAATATGTCTTTTAACAGAGCAAAGGATATATTGATTATGTTAATCGAATCGTATTTAAGTTCATAACAAATATCTTTAACCTACTTTTATTATCTTTATTATAATATATCTATCTATTCGTTATTGTATATTCATTAATAATAATAATAATAATAATAATAATTTATTTAAAAAGAGACTAAAAGACACATCAATGGAAATCCCAAGAATTCATATTTATTATCGTTGAACACACATACTCTTGTGCACATTAAAAAAAACAAGTTTATATAAATCTTTTCGTACTTTAAACTTTTTATCGAATTGCAAATTGTACAATAGTTTATTCTTCTATTATATACGTTTTAGTTTATCCGAGGTCAATCAATGCATATTTCCAATCACGTGGCTTAAAAGACACACTCTGAATTACAGATACAAAGATTATTTTTAACGTGTTTTCATTTATATATATATAAAAACAACTATTTTTCTATGACGCGATATATTTTTATATGGACCGTATATTTTGAAAGTGGTATAAGTCTATTGTTTAAAAAAAAAAAAAAAAAAAAAAAGAGATATCACGTACATAATTTATGCTTAATTTAATGTAAACTTTTTATGTGTGGATAACATAGTTAATATTTAATTTTTTAAAAAGTGCTCATGTTTTGTACAATTTTGTACAATTTTGAAACAAACGAATTGTCCTTTCTTTTTTTTATTTTCTTTTTCTTTTTTATTTTTATTCGATCGAATGAATAGAAAAATTAGAATTGAACGTTACATTTATAATATGATGTCTGCCATATTCATTTGACTAAAATGAATATTCTAAAAAGAAGACCAAACATAGGACACAGACACTCGTTAGAATTTCTAGAAAGTAATATTGATTTTACGATCGAACTTAACGACGACACGTAACAATAACGAGATTATTATTTTATTTTCTACATTCCTATAGTAGTAGTAAAATCCATCCCCCCTTTCTTCTCGTATCATGCAAATTTTCTAATCGACGTTTTTGCTATTAATAATTCAAATCGTCAAGTATATAAGAACACATACTTGATTAACTTTATTATTCGTTTATAATGATTTATTGTAACTTTTTTTTTGCAATGATATATTAATAACTTAACTCGAATAAAGTTGTGAATGATAATTTGTAATCATTTAAAAAAAGAAAATAAAAGAGAAAGATAGATGAAGAATAATTTGTTCTTCTATATATTTTTTCTTTTATATATATATATATAAAAATGTGATCAGAAGAACAAATTATATTTATTATATTTTATAATAAGAACATAATATATTATATATAATATATATAATATAATATATAATAATATAATAATTTAATTATTTTATATTTATATATTTAATATATTTTATTATATATAATATATTTATATTTTATTTATATTTTATATATATATATATATATATTGTTTCTTTTTTTGTAATATTATTTTACACGATTACTTTGTTGTCCAACAACGTATTATCATTATTATAACAAATTAATCAGTATGACTAACTTATGTTCAAATAAAAAAAAGATAATTGTTTTTTTTTTTTAATGATATTATTACATTGTGTTTCTCTTGATTTCCTGAATAAGAAAAATCTTGAATACGCCTACTGAGTTTATCATTCTGCAACAGTTTGAGATAAAATATTTACACGTATCTAGAAAGATGAGATAGAGAGAGAGAGAGAGAGAAAAAGACATTATTTCATTCTCAATCTGGGGTTTTTCCTGATACATGTATATCATAATTATTCGGTTTTTCCCTTTATTTTTTTTTTTTTTTTTTTTTTTTATTAAGAATTCATTAATTAATCAGATCACTTGCATCAGCTGATGACAATTTATTTGTTTTGTGAACATTACTTATGCAAAGACAACGACATTGATAATTAACAGTTTTTCTGTCTATGTACTTCACATGAAATGCATTTATTTTTTTTTTTTTTTAACTACAACCAAAAAAGAAGTTATGGCAAAATATGGCTCGTTTTTGCAGTTTACATGAATCATTTAACATTTTTTTTTGGTCTTTTCTTTTTTCCCTTATTATTCGTTCTACGTTGAGTAGTTTATTTTAAGAAAAAGAAAGAAAATCAATATTTGTTGTAATAAAAAAGAAAATAATATTTATAAATAATAATAATGGTAGACAAACGAACTGTCAACGTGTTTGACAAAAGATTATTTTGCGTTCACCATAATGGCGGATTTAAAGAGGACCATTATGTGCATCAAATCTAATGCACATATTTCATAACAATAAAAATATTGAATATACGTATATTTTATACATATTATATGTATTATTTTATATTTATATAATTGTATAATTATATTAAAATACATATGTTAAAAATATGAATATATAATATATAAAATATAATATTAAATATATGTATATAATGAGGAATTGAAGTATCCATTAATTTTTTTATTCTTATAATTAATATTATTTATAATAATATTATTAGAATATTATATATAATATTATATTATATTATATTATAATAATATTATTATTTATAATATTATTATTACAATAATAATATTATATANATAACATTATATTATATTATAATAATAATATTATTACTTATAATATTATTATTACAATAATAATATTATATATTATATTATATAATAATATTATTATTTATATATATTTGCAATTTTTTAAATCTTATTAACTATTAACAATTATTTATTATTTATATGGACAGTATAATTGAAGAATAAAAAATGAATATTATATGTGGATCGATCAAATGAAACTTCTCTTCTTTGTGTGTTTATCGACTCAAACTATCATATAATAAAAATCATATTATTCATGATAAATTAGTTTCCGTTGAAAAAAAAATATTGAAGGTTTTGACCTTTTTTTATCATCATTCGCCATACGTTTCTCGATCGATCGTATATTTATTTCCACTTGAGATATTTAGTCTACCTACATTTATTATATACATTTAACTGTGTTGTTTCTATTTTAAAATATTGCTTTTTATGATATCATCTGATATAAACACGCGTCGTTTTAATTGAAACCAACTGAATTGTTTCTATTGTGTTTTTTCTTTTCTTTTTTATTCTTTTGTCTCGTTTTATTCTCTATAATTTATCTAAGAGATAATTAATCAACGCGACACGTGTCTCTGTCCTGCTGTACATATATACATATATACATAGCCTTTTTATAAAAGAAAAAAAAATTAATCGATACTTTTTTTACATACTTAATTCAAATGTTTTTCTTTTTTTTTACAGCTAATGCAGGAACATTGAAATTGCTTTTAAGTTTTGCTGTTGGTGGTCTTTTGGGTGATGTTTTCTTACATCTTTTACCAGAAGCATGGGAAAATGATTCCTTAAAAAGAGGTAAAACAAAAAGAAACAATAATAATAATAATAATAAATATCCAAAGATCCTAAAAATGACTGACAATGAAATTTAACGAAGTCGGATTTATGTATACAAAGTTTTGTATATTAATTAAAAAGATATGAAATTTTAAAGATTAGATTGTTTTTCGTATATTAGAAATATTGTGTTAACACGTGCATGTGTTGTTTCACGTGCAGGAATCACAACTCGGGATTTAAAACGCACACTATATTCTCTCGGGCTTATATATATATATATATATATATATTTATTAGAAGAAACTTCCGTCCGGAGGAAGAGAGGGTTTATGAATGAACTCTTTGTAGAACGCCTTCGAACTCTATTATGCGTTGGTTGCGGATTTGAATCGCCAGCTGTGCCCCGATAAATTGAACCATCTCTCTCGACCAATAGCGACAATCCTTCCCGATTTGTCCTGAGAAAATATAATACACACGAATTACTATTTCAATTCTATTACAAATATTCTTTTCTTATTTTTTTTAATCAATTATTTTCTATCTCATAAACTCAATTGAAACTATCCTATTTTCTTTTTCTTCTTCTTCTTCTTCTTCTTCTTCTTCTTCTACTACTACTACTGTTATCTTTTTGTTTATTTCTCTTTAATTTATTATTATATAATGAAATTATATTTTTCAGCTGCGAATCCAGATTTACAGTCAATGCCTTGTGGTCTTTGGGTACTCTCTGGTTTTCTGGTCTTTGTTATCGTTGAGAAGATTTTTGCTTTTGATCATGACCCAGATGAAATACAAACTGACGATGATCAACAACAACAACAGCAACAGTTGGAGATTATTAAAAAAAATCTTGAAACAGAAAAAGAAATGGAGAACAATAATTGTATTAATGTAATTGGGGTGAAACAAAAGAATGGCTATGTTCGACGTTTTGTCGCTAATGAACTTTTGGAGGTACGATTATTTTTTAAAATCTTTGATAACAATCTTTCCATATATATATATATATATATATTTAATATTAATAAATTGGTATTGTTTTATTTTTATCTAGATGGAACCATTTTTAGAAAAGGAATCATTGAAAAATGGATATACTAAAAAGGAAAATGGTATTACAGAGGAACCAAAAACAAATGGTTTCTTAAAATCAGAATATAAAAATGGTATTATAATATCTGATGGTATGTCGGCTGACAAAGTTATGGATTGTCTGAACAAACTTACAAAAAACAATGGTTTTTCATCATCATCATCATCATCATTATCATCATCATTATTGAATGGATGTATCATTGACAAAAAACAAGTATCATCCAATCCAAAAGAAGTCTTTCAAAAAACTGTTGTTATCGGTGCTGCTGTTGCCCAAAAAACCAAACCAAAACACATAGCAGGCTATCTCAATCTTATGGCAAACTGTATCGACAATTTTACTCATGGATTGGCTGTAGGAGGATCATTCCTCATGTCCTTCAGATTAGGTGCTTTAACAACCTTCGCAATTTTGGTTCATGAAATTCCACACGAAGTTGGCGATTTTGCTATTTTACTTCGTAGCGGTTTCAGTAGATGGGACGCTGCTAAGGCACAACTTTTGACTGCAACTGGTGGCATTTTTGGATCGTTGGCTGCTCTTGTTTTTTCTGGCGGTGAAGTTGGTAAGTTCACAATCGTTACTTTTAACAATATTATTTCTTGTACTTTTCTGTAAATAATTTAATACGTTTTATAAAGAATTACAGGAAGTATTATTTAAAGATTATATATATATATATATTTTTTTTATGACTTCACACTTGATTGATAAAATAATGAGATTTAAAGTGTTCGAAAAACATACTTTATCATGTGATTATATAAACTATTTATAAATTGTATATGTCAATATTTCGTATCATTATTGATAACTCTTGTGACCCTGATTAATTAAGTTTCTGCATAAGGAAAATACTTATTTTTCTTGATAATCTCTGATTCATTACTTTTAAATCATCTATCAAATTAACCTTTGCATTATAAATGCATATTATAATTTATATATATTATCATGATATTTTTTTTTTTTTCTTTTGTTACAGAGGCAAGAACAAGTTGGATTTTACCATTCACCGCAGGTGGTTTCCTCCATATCGGCTTAGTTACAATTTTACCAGAACTGCTTAAAGAATCTAGTCCAAAGGAATCTTTAAAGCAACTCGTTACTTTGTTATTTGGTACTACGTTAATGGCAATGTTAACAATTTTATGCGATTAAATAAAATATTTCTCATGAATTAATTTCAACAACAACAAAATTATAAAATGAAAAGAGAGAAAAAAAAAGGGCGTTTGAAATTTATCAATCATATTTTACGTTGGTACTTTATTGAAATATAATTTCTTTAAGAGCAGCAGCACACTCTCACATTAAATAGTCTATATATAATATAAATATATATTATATATATATATAAATATACACATATTATAAGAAACTATCTTTTAGAAAGAGAGAGAGAGAGAGAAGAGAGAGATTATTTGTTGCGATAAAAAGTTGAAATAATTTTGTTACTCTATTAAGATAATCTTTTCATTGATGAAAAATGAATAATAATCAACTGGAAAAATTAATTTAACGACTGATCATATTCTTATATAAGAATAATAAAATATTACACTCTCCAGTATATACATACACACACACACACACACATAAATATATATATATATATATATATATATATAATATATATACAAGTTATACCTTACAAAGTTATAGGAGTTTATTGTATACTCAAAATTATATCTGAAAATGGAAATTGAAAAAAAAAATACAGTTTAAAGGAGCCTGCGAGAAAAAGGAGAGGACTATTTTTTTAGATTCTGTGATCCTTTACAAATAATTAAAGAATGTGTTTACTTATACGAATTATTTCAAAAAAAAAAAAAAAAAAACCTAATGTTATAAATATCCTTTATAATATAATCGAAGAAGAAGAAGAAGAAAAAGAAGAAGAGCGTACACATTTATTTTTATAATCTTGAACAAATTAAAAAGAATATTTCTGTAATCTAAATAAAATTAATAATATTTCATCTTATAAACATTTAATCTAATTGATATGAATTTTTAATTACATTGACTATTTTGTGTTGTTAATATTATTCTATATATATATATATTGTATTGACTGAAGGATTTCATTTTCAAATTGAATTCTGTTATATTATATGCACCGTGATATATTATTAAAATTATTATTATTATTATTATTATTATTATTATTATTATATACGATACACACCACATATATATATATAACATATTGACGAATGACATTTCATGTTATGAAAAGAAGGTAAAGGTGTGTAAGTAATCTTTATGCTTTCTCTTCTTTGATATTGAAATTTGACAAAAAAAATAAAATAAAATAAAAAAGGCATTTTATAAAATTTATAAATAAGAAATTATAGTTCATGTATAAATCCAAATTTTCTCAATGTTAAAAGAGCACACACACACACACATTCATAATCAATATTAAATAAATATACTTATCAGGAAATGAAAAGAGAAAGATAAAGAGAGAAAGAGAAGAAATGTTTGAGTTCCTAAAAAAAAAAAAAAACCATTCTATTCAAGTATATTCTTTGAAGGAAATTAAAACAAAACCACCACCTATAGTCTATTTAAGTGAGAATGTTGCAAATAATGTTATACGATGATGAAGAAAATGAAGTGGAGGAAAATATGAGATTGTAAAATAAATGAACAGTTAACAAATAAAAAAAAAAAATATATATATATATATATTATTATTATTATGTAAAGAAATGTAAAATTAATAATGTAGATATGTACGATCTTTCGAGAAATAAATTTCAATTCGTAATATTTTATAAAATTATATATACATATATATATATATATATATGTATATCTCGTAAGGCGCATAATTTCATTATCACTGAATACACAAAACGAGAATTGATTATTTAAGCACAGATAACGATTATTATCTGAACGAATTTGAATTAAATACAAATAATTATATTAAGGGGGGTTCAAAAAAAAAATAATGATCGTGTTATCATTGATTATTGATAAGTAAATAAATAAGAATTACACAAATATAGATAATAGGCCTGATTTTTCGTTATATCTACAATATATATATATAAATATAAATATCATTCTAATTTTTATATTTAAAAAAAACAAAAACAAACAAAAACGATAGTTCATCACACATCTCCTTTTCCCAAAACATAATGATTATTATATCATAACATTTTGTTCCAAATTTTAATCAAATTTTATTTATACATTCGTATAACTTTAATAATATTATTATAATTTGATTATATTCTAATAATATAGTTTAGTTATCCTTACGAATTATTTACAGCTTTAATACTCTCAGCAATTATACACTTTTCATAAAAAAAAAAAAAGGTAAAAATATTGTTTTATAGTATAAATAAAATGATTAAAATTTATGATCACATCTGTGCACTTAGATTTCTAAAAAAGAATAAATATATATATAAATATGTCGTAGAAGTAATTGTTCATTTTATCAGACAATTAGATTTGGAATTAACCGATGATGATGATGATGATGATGATGATGTCAACGAGTTTGTTAGAATTTACATAGTAAAAAAAGTTGACACATTGATGAACTCATAGAAAGATGCGTGAGCAAAAAACGTCATTGATGCATCCATCTGACACTTTTGACCCAGTTCCATCAGACAAACACATGACAATTGCAATCTTAACAAAAGGTCTTCGCTCAATTGAAAATAACTTTACATATTTTTCAAAATATACATTCCAATTGATGGAACGCGTTATAATTGTAAAGCACACACACACACATACACACATAAGAAATACAATAAATTTACATTTATTATATTGCGATAAATAAATTTTTGTGTGAAAAGAAAAAAAAGAAACAACAACAACAACAAAAATAAGTCATTGTGTTGTTGGTCAAATGAATTTGTTTTCAATTTTATAAAACCATTGACATCAAAGTGACTTTTTTTATGTAACTTATTTATTTTCAATGAAATAACAATTCTTATGCAGAGTTTGTCCTCCTACAACAACATGGTATCTTATAACACGATTCATAAATTACGGTAAATCCTCCTACAACACGGTTTCCTTTCCCAAAAAAAAATCAACCTTTGTACAACATTGTACTTTTACAGTTGCGGCGAGATTTGCCGTATTAAAGATACAATGTTGCGAAAAAGTATTTCTTTTCATCTGCATGATCTGAAAACAAAAGTCTCATACAACTTGGCATTTTCTAGGAACCTGTCTACCCGTCTTATAGGAGGGTTATCTGTATTTAAAATGTAAAAAATAAGTTATTATTTTCCCCATTCTAAAAAAAAAAAAAAGTTAAGAAATCTTTCAAAATATATTTCTCGTAACTGTGTAACTAATTTTTCAAAGTTGTAATAATTTACACGATTAGTCAACAATTTCTATATATATATATATACACATATGTACCCGTATTATAAATGTAATCTATTTAAAAAATTTGTAAATAAAATATATATTATTTTTTATCAGTCGTATTTCTATATAATAATTATAATAATAATAATAATAATAATGAGGTAGTTGTTAACTAATTCTAACAAATAATTTAATAAATAATTACTCTTATCAATCAGTAAAAATATAACATTTGTGCATTATTACTTTAACGTAACTTTGATGATGTTTAATAAATTCGTTAAAAAATACGAATATTTTTCCTCTGCTATATTTTACATAATTTATAAATTATATAAAATGCATTATTATTTACACGTACACTTTTACTCATATATAAATATGCATAGATAGATATATGTATAAAAAAATAATATTAATTTTATTTCTAAATAGACTTATTGAAAAAAAAAGAAAAAACATTGATTTTAAGTGAAATTAAAACAAGATGTCGCATAATGTTTATCGAATAGGGAAAAATATGATTTATTTGATATAAATATGTCCAAATATGAATGTTTTCTTTTTTTAATAAATAGAAAGAATATATATTAACATTTGGATATTGCATATTTACATATATAACAATCTAATATATAATATATATACATATATATATATATACAATATATATATATATATATATGTATTAATATATATATATAAATATTAAATCACCCAATAAGTTCATGTAATTTTAAAGAAAAAAACTAAACAGCAAAAATCACAGCTGATTGGGCAACTTAATATATTCCTGTAAATATATATATTTCATATTTGCATTGGTCTATAATCAAAACATATTATATATAATAAACAAAATTTCACACGATGAAAATAAATACGATACTTGCATATATACATACATACATACATACATATATATACATATATATAAATTGTTTTTACTTTAATTAATTTGTTTTGATTAAGATTATACGAAATATATAAATTAATAATCAGTCACATAGAAAGATACCTTATTTATACAGTCTCTACTGCGTTCATTATTTTTTTTTCTTTTTTTTTTTCTTTAGAATACAAAACATGGTAGATTTTCAAATTTCAGAATCAAATTTCCATACTTTGCACGTCATGTTGCTTTTCAACAGCATTATTAAATATTAATACGAGAATAGTAATCTCTTAGTTTCCCTGAATTTGTAAAACTTCTTCTTTATAATACATAATTATATTTGATTTGTTTTTTTTTTTCTTTTTTTTATATACAGTTGTCCTTGTGATTGAAATTATTTACAATTCGTCATGCAATGGTATCTCAATGATTACCATAAGTCTTTCGACCAACATTATTTGTTGATTGATTAACGAGATACTATCCTTATCAACATATTTACTTAAATCTTCATAAAAATCTACCAAGTCAGTAATAGTTTCTAAAATTTCATTTTGATTCTTGTGAAATTCCTTTTTACATATGTTACTAATTCTAATCATATTTTCAATAATTATTTCTAATAATTCGTAATTCTCAATGATAGTTGGATCGTCAAGCTCTTGCTTAAATATTCTTATCATTAGATCCATTAAATTTTTACAATATCCATGAATGATTATTCTATTTTTAAAATCAGTCATGGCATATTTATTTGTTACATTATCATTATATTCTTCAGTTTCAACAGAATATCCTATATCTTGCCTTTCGATGATCAAATCATTGACAAGTCTCATAACTCGTATTTTCGATTCGAAATCTTTGTCGTCTTCGATCAAGATTTTAACAAATATTTGTAAACCTCCATGATCGAGAAATGATTTTTGTGCTTCTGGAAAATTTCTTATTAAGGCACTCAATGCATAAAGACATCTAGTTTTCACTGAATGATTCTTATTTGTCCATAATAATTGTAAAACCTTTTTTATTAAACCTTTTTCCAATACTTTAGCTTGTACTTCTGGATTTAATTGAGCGGCAGCTCCTAAAAGCTTTAAAGCTTCAGCTTTGATAGTATTATATGTACTGTTCAAACACGGAAATATAATCTTAGTTAACCTGTAAATATTTTTACAAATAATGACAGAGAGTTTCCTTGTTATTTTTTTTTTTTTTTTTTACATTTAAATTTAACACTTTTAAGCAACGTCCATTTTTGTAATAATTAAATAGAAAAAAGAAAAACAAAAGCAGAATAAAGTTAAATAAAATATTATTTACCCTTCCATTTGAGTAAATAAACAGCCATTGTCGATATGATGAATTACATATTCTAAAGCATTAAGAGTTTCCAAAATAATTGCAATATCTCCATCTAGTAAAAGTGATTTACTCATGGTATCTTTAAATATTTCAAATTTGGTAAATAATGCATCAAAAAGTTTTTTATCCGATTCAATAACCTTATTCATAGTTGATAATTCGGTTGGCAAATTCGTAATGAATTTAGTTTCATCTTTATAGGTATTTTTTCCTAATAAAACCTGAAAAAATCAAAATCAAAATGCAAATATTATAACGCCATTAGAAATAGGTCAAATTTAATATTATATATATTAAAATAATATAATATAATATAATATATATAATATTTAATTATTATATTTAAGTAATTAAATATAATAATTAAATATATACAATTTTTATAAATATGTAAATATAAATTTTATATATATACATATAAAATACTAATAAAGTAATAATAAAATAATAATAAAAAATAATAATTATAAAATAATATAAACATAAATGTTAACAATTTATTATATTAAATTTTTAAAATATAAAATGACGTAAATCACGTCAACGACAACCAAGAATAGAACTTGAAAAGACGTGAATTCACGTCAGCAGTCGTGAATGTGTTACCAAGTAAAATATTTATTACTTTTGCATTAATTGATATATTATCAGTTGTCTGACTTTTCTTTATTTTCAATACACTTCTTATGTCATTAGTGGAAATGTCTTTATCATCTACATTTTCTTTTATCAAAGGATCATTTTCTTTGGATTTGATTACTTCATCAGGATGAACCATTAAAGCTCTTGAAATATTATTATCATTTAAATCTTTATCCTCCTTGTTTTCCTCCTGATCCATTAATTTAGCTTCGACAATTCCTGTTTGCATATTATATCTTATATGTAATCCTTTTGGTAATGGTAAACCTTTAACAAATTATTATTCATATTAGTTATTTATTTCATTTCATATATTATTATTATTATTATTATTATTATCATAGTATATATTTATCTCATTATTACTAAATTACATTAATAATCTATTTAAGTAGAATAGAAAAAAAAAAAACAAAAAATTTGAATTTGAAAATACGTTACAGTATTGTTTGTTTTTGTTATCACAACAATTTAACTGACGTGGCCTTACGAAATATCTTTATTATATTACATATATATATATATATATATATATATGTACATTTATATCAATAATGTAATTATAATTACCTTTTTTAACAATTTGCCATTCATTTGTTGGTACAAAAACACTTTCGTTTTTTTCCGAATAAGTGAAATTAAATAAACAGAAATAAAGGAGAAATGTGTAAAGATTTTTATCGATAAGCATTTTGATGTATTCAACAGAAATTTGAAAGAAAATTTGTGTGTTTTAATAATACGTTAAAAAAAAAGAAATTAACTTTTAAATATATTATATGTATATATATATATATGAAAATATTTTAAATCACTTTAACAATTAAATTTAAATTCCCACTAATTTTCTATATCATTTGTGTACACGTTTTGAACAGATGTTAAAGATTGACCTAACTTAAACTACTGGAAACTCTTGGTTATTTTTTCCAACGCTACGTAGCGCTAGTGTCGCTTATTTTATAATACAAAAACTTGACATTGAATAAATGTTGACCTTCGATCATCCAAATATCTATATATATAATACTAATGTATGACCTTTTTAATTAAATCTTTTTACAATATGTGTGCTAATATTTATTTAGATTTATTAGATTTAAAAATAAAAGTTCACCTCACTATTGTTAAAGTATTTAACTTAAACGAATAAAGAAATAATCGAATTAATCGAATGTTACGAAGGCTGTTGAATAATCAGATTCATGACAAGCGTAATCTACTTGAATTTTGTATAAGGTACTAGCACTGCTACCTATCGATTCGAAAGTGAACTACAATGCAAAATGGCGGTTTTAGTTACCAGTAACTAGGGTTTTTCTGATGTTACATTTCCGATGAAAATAACTATAATTCCGGAAATACGTTTATTTGAAACTTTCATAAATTAACTTTAAGTTGGTAGATAGTGATGCAACCATTTTCCATTACTATTTTCTCATCCTGAATCACATTTTTATTAGAAGAATCTTAGATTTGGAATTGATTAGAAATAAATCATCAAAAAAAAAAAATGAATTGTGTGGTAAGAAATTTACTTCGTGGTTCTGCGATTAGAAATATTTTATCCTCAACTACTAACAATGGTTCAACGAGTAGTAATTTATATAGAACGTTGTGGAACATGTGCAACCGGCAAAACGATGCTATAGTATCATTAAGTATTCCAAAGGTTCACAATTTTCCAATTTATAGTTATGAAAGTAAAAGAAATTCTCATACCAAAGGTATACTACAAATGTCTTTTTTCCATTCATATAAGTTTATTTATTGTATGATAATTTTCATTAATTAAAATATATATATTTATTATTTTTATTATTAGCCGAGAAAGAATTAGTTGAGTTCTTAGCAGAAGAAATAGTTGCTGAGAAAAAAGCACAGAAGTTGAAAACAATTCCAACAGAATTAAATGGTTTCAAGGTATCACTAGACAGTGCTGAAGTTACTCTTGAGAAGAAAGATAAAGGCGAAGAGTAAGATTAATATTAAATTTAACATAAGATATATATATAAACAGGGAATATACATCCTATATATTTGATAACTTGAAATTCTTCATTTTTTTAATACTGATATATTAATCATTTGATTTAACTTTTCAACAGAATAATCATTTCTTTCAATATAAATCATACGGTAGACAACGCTACCGAACCCGAAATTGATCCTCAAAGCGATCATGCAGACATCGGTGAAATGAAAAGCAAACCATCATTTACCGTAGATATTAAAAAAGGAAATCAAACTTTAGGATTTACGTGTTCGTTTAACCATGAACCAGGTGCATCTGGTGCTGATGATAGTTATAGTAAGTATTAATTGATAGTAATTTGAATTTGATTGTGTTATTTTAAATAACCAAAGCGTTGAGTACAAAATGATGACGACTTATAATCATTTTGATAATTATCCTTTGGAAAATTAAATACATTCTTATTAATTATTTATTATTTCTAATCATTTTTGTTATGAAATATATAAATGAGAATGTAACACTGCTTATTATTATATAATGGTATACAAATTTGCATTAATTACTTTTTTTTTATTTTTTTATTTTTTTTTTTTTTTTTAATAAGATAAATGTTATATATTATATTTCATTGATATTTTTCAGATGACATTTTTGGTATCGATGAAATAACTTTCTATGAAGGAGAACACAGTGACAAAGTTTATGCAGTTGCTGGTGAAATTATCGATGGTGTAAGTATTCTTTGTGTTATGGAATTGAATATATATATATATATATATATATATATATATATATATATACTTTACTGTTACAAATTTATATGATTCTATTAATCTTGTCTTTTTTTTTGGTGCAGTATCTATATGACCTCTTGATGAATTATCTCGAAGAGAAAGGTATTTCTAACGAATTCGCTGAACAAATCATCGAACTTAGTACGAATTATGAACACACGGCTTATGTTAGTTTATTAGAAGGACTATCCAAATTTACCTCTAGAAAATAAGTTTCTACATTCTGTCTCTCATTGCTTTATTATTTTTACTTTTTAACAGATCAATGTAATCTTCACATTAAGATCTTAAGTATTGTTAATGTCATTAATAGTATATGTTAAAAAAAAAAAAAGTCAATTTTTATTTTGTAGATTTCCATGTTTATCAAGCAAATATAAATAACGCATCATCTCGTTGAAATATTTATAAAATAGTTTATCCAAGTTTGATTTCATTGTTCTCTTATATTATTATAATTATTATTATATAGTATAACAATAATATACAAAATATAATAAAAAATGCTATCTCTGATAATTTATAGTATAAATAATATACTAGGCAAAATATTGATTATGTAATCTTAAAAATGATTTAATTATTATGTTCATAAATATTGAACAGAAATAGAATTTAAAAAGATTGAATTTAAAAAATTCCAAATTCATTAGACTCTTCATTTTTCTTTCCATTTATCTTACATTATTTTTCCAATCTTTACAAATAATTAAATTTGTGTCATACGTTTTTCATATATATATATATATATATTTATCTAATTATAATAATTTATTGAAATATTTTCTTTTTTATTTAGATTTTGTAATCGTATCTTTTTATAAATTAAAATATTTCAACTAACATTTCACTTTATCGAGATTTAACAATTACATTATCATACATGTTTGATGAAATGATTTATTGTCATTTATTTTTTATTCATCTCTAATTTGTGTTCTATTCAGTGAGATTATATAGGTAATAAACATATTTTATTGACAACAGTAACATTTATTATTCCACGTTATACAACATTTAATATCTACGTTATCTTATAGTCTTCAAAGCTCTAACATCTTTCTTCTCCTTCATTTTGTTTCTTTTCTCCTATTTTGTTATAAAATAATATTTAACGTAACATAAGTAATGTAATGCGAGAGAATAATATATGAAACACAATAATTTGAATTTTATTCAAATAATATATCAAGAACAACAACAAAAAATATATATATATATATATATGTATATAAAATTATAACTATAAAACAATTAATTCGATTATTATTTATAACTTCGTTAATATTACAAGAAATTATTGAATGAATTAAATTTCTAAATCTCTCTTATATATATATATATATATATCTGAAATATTATTTTATTTACATTCAATATAATTTGGCATTCATAATATATATATATATATATAAATTAATATATAAATAGTATTTCACAAATATTTCTAATACCAAATTGAAAAGCATCTTGTGGTAATCGATTCAGATAAAAAAAATAAAATAAAAAGAAAAAGAAAACAAAGTTATTTAATCACGATTGGATTTGTTCATTAGGATGACTAGTATCAGTTAAAAAATAATTCAGCTATCTTAATACAAGGAACCATCGATTTCATTTGTATTCGATCTTTATCGTTAATAAAGACGGACTGTAATGATGAAGCATCAATAAAACAATGACAATTCTATTAATATAAAAGGAAGGAAAAATATATAATATGTATATGTGTGCGCATATATAAATTGTGTCATTTAATTCATTATAAAGAAATAAAGATATATATAAAAGCATTGAGAATGAATAATCTTCTATACTTTTATAAATATATGTATCTAAAGAATAATTTAATTTTTGAAACAATGATATATGTACAATGTTTGATAACATTTGTTATTTTATTTCATTCATATCATATTGACTCGTTATTCAATAATTAAATCATACATTGTAAATTAATGCTTCTTTATTACCTTTAATTAAATCATGCGTTGAAGATACGATTTAAGTACAAAATTCAATCAAAAATGACATACGGTAGTATACTTTACTTATTAATTTTTCCCTTTTTTTTTTTTTTTTTTAAATATTCAATAATTTTATCGTAACAAGGAGAGAAATATCTTTTGATAAAAGAAAGAAAGAAAGAAAAAAAAGAATGTAACAAAAGTTAAACTACCGATCCGATCAGTGTCACTTGGTATCCTAGTATCATTTTTTTCTTCAACAAATTCAACATTCAGAAAACGTAATAATATACGTAGAATTGTCTGAGACCTGACACACAATATATGATATAATATACAGTTTAATATAATATATAATATATTATATATATATATATATATGTATAACGTAGCCATGAGATACAAGCGATACAATGTTGAGATTCTTTGTCAAGTCATTTTAATGCCAATTGACTTAATTTGGAAAAAATAATGATATTTTTGGCATATTTAAATAGAGGTAGAATCATCCGAATCGGTATCATCACCACCAACACCACTATATGGTCCACGATTGTCATTATCTTGAGTCCAACTAGACCCTACAGCTATTTCATATCTGTTCTCTTGCGTATTGTTAGTTGGCACGATTCTAACGTAAGTGTTTTTAATATTGTTCATGAATTCTTGACTGATACCTGTGTTCTTAGTCATCGGACTTCTTTCACCACTACTTACAGATTTAGATCGAGTCTTATTCTCAGGTTTTTTTTCAGCTTCTATCGATTCTAAAGAACTTTTTCTTCTGCTACCTTTTCTGCTAGATTTGGAGCTCTCCTTGTTGGTACCAGTGGTACCTTTCTTACCAAATTTAGGTCCGTCACTGTCTAAATATTTTCTAATCCATTTTGGTGTTTCGCTAGAGTAACCTTGCATTTTTTTAAAGTATTTAGGAGTGCCTAGTATAATTGGTACATCAGTTTCTATAACGGTTGTAATAACTTGTTCGTTCTCATCAAAGTTACTCTCTAAAAATTTTTTCTTTGGTATACTACTCACTGATATCTTACCAATTGAACTACTTTCATCTTTGATGTCATATGTATAAGAATAATGACGTTGAATGTGTTTTGGGGGTTGCATTGTATCAAAGTCTGGCTCGTTAGTTATGATATTTTCTTTTTCTTTGTCATCTTCTTTATTATTGCTTTTATTTTTATCTTTTTCTTTATCCTTTTCTTTCTTTAATTTTTCTAAAGCTTCCTCGATGGAAAATTTGTAGGGTTTTCTTGTTATGTCATGGACTTTGCTAGGTGAAAGTAAACATTGTCTCAGATTACCTGTTATACTGTGTCTTTGTCTCGTTGGTGGATCTAACAATCGACGTAAGCTAGAATTTCTTATTTCTGGTACAGACATTCTTTCTCTAGGAGGTAAAACAGTAGTACCCTTCATTGTGGTTACTGTTGCAGTTGTTGTAAAATTAGTTGCAGTTGTCGTCGTAGTCGTTGACATTGTTCCAGGTGGTATTGGTGGAACATAAATTGGAGATATACCTTTCAAAGCTATAGTTGAGTCAAGTATTTTTCTTTCACCTGGTGGTAAGATAGGCGTCGTGCTAGCTACAATAACACTTTCCAAACATTCGCGTGTAGGAGTCTTCAGTTTATTTGGACCAGCATTTACTGTGCTGGTAATATCTTCGAGTTTGTTTTGTTGATGTTCATTAATCGGAGAGCTAGCTATTGGTAATAATCTTGATCTTCCACTATCCTGATTACGCGTCAGTTGACTATCAAGACTGAATCTTTGTTTAGGCGTACCGGCCATCAATTTGAGATCATTTTTAGTTTCTAATTCGGGTATGGAGAATCTATCGCGATTGAATTTAACCGTAGAGTTGGACAAATCCTTCCAGTTTCTATATTTCCCACCAATATCCAATTGAGATAGACGATCTCTATGACTGGCAGCAGAAATTGGTGAAAATCTTTTGTGTTTGATAGGAGGTGGCGATGGGGATTGTAAAACCATAGTTGGTATACCGGAATCTCTGATTGTAGACAAACACGGTTGCGATAATCTCTGTTGTCCATGTCCTCGTATTGGATAATAATCACCGGATACAAGAGTAGGTTGCGATAATCTTTCCCGTTTAGTTGGATCCTGACGAAGAGTGTAACGTCTTATGTCTGGTTGAGAAAATCTTGAACCATGATGATCGCCCGATGATATGTTCTCCCCAGCACTACCACCAAGCCGATGGACGTTAGGTGTCGAAAGTCTTTCCTCCTCGTTAATACTATTGTCACCCGATGGTGCTCTCAAACTGGTATACGATAAACGAGTACCACGGCTCATGCCAAAGAAATTGATCCCGCTGAAACTTGAGTTTAAAGTCGGCTGTGACATTCTTATACGACGATCAGGTGAACCACCACCAGATCTACGTTCATAGGATATCAACAATGTTGGAAGATTTGGTTGAGATAATCGACTCCTTTGACTCGCCGGCGAGTAACTTGGTGGACAGGGTGTCGTTGAATGGGTACCGTCGTAAGTCACCGAATCTTGCGATTCGATGCTTGATTGTGACTGAGGTTGAATTTTCACTGGAGTGATGTGAAGATTTGGATGAGATAATCGATTTTTGCGACCTTGGCTTGGTTTCTTCAAATGGTCGATTAGATTTGGTTGAGATAATCGTATACAAGTTCGTACGGGACGATTTATATACCACAGGTCTCGCCGGGAGTAAGGCTCGCATCAGAGAGTACCTAATCGTTTATATTATAATTATCAAAGAGTATTTACTCGAAAATAATCATTTATTTATTTGTATATTTGTTTATTTACCTTCCTCTCGTAAACGGCGCATAAAGACTGGTCGTACATCTTCAAAGAATGATGGCAAATCCAATTCTGCTGCTCTCGCGATTCCACCATCCTTACACTCCAACCAATATGTATCCATTAGGCCTTTGCCCTGTGTGGTATGTGTATACGTTAAAATAAGATCATCAATATATTTCTTAACTTAAACTTTAGATTTCAATTATATTAAGATTCTAATTATAATTATAATCTATTATATATTATGGGCGTTATAGAGAATTAATATTTATCAATTGGAGTCAATAAAAAGAAACAACAAAGAAAGAATAAAAAAAAAAAGAAAAAAACATACTTTAACGTCAACCAAACCACGATGCTCGATTTTAAATCCTCCAACAGCATCCAAGGCCTTTTTCATTTCTAAACTAATGTGAATTCGTAAAGCTGTAAAAATAAAATATGCATATTTTCATAATATATTTCATATTAATTATTTGAAATAAATTATTATAAGAGTTGAATAATTGAAATATTATATTATAAAATGAAATGTTACCTTCGCCTGTGGATTCCATACGACTCGCTGTATTCACGGTATCACCAAATAAACAATATCGTGGCATTTTACTGCCAACAATACCTGCTACGACTGGTCCTGTATGTGCACCACTGCGTATTTGAAGTCTTTCACCAGGACGTTTTGGTACTTGAAAAACTGAGGATGCTGCCAATAGATCTAAAGCCATTGTTGCAATCTCGGATACATGCTTATCACCTTTAAATATAATTAACAAATAATAATTAGCATCAATTTTGTCTCTTCTAGTTATTTACTAGTCAAATATTGAGTTTGAACTGGAAAATTTGATAAAATAATCTTTTTTTTTTGTTTACCATTTCGAACTGGTAAACCAGAAGCAACCATGTAAGAATCACCAATAGTTTCAACTTTGTAAACGTCGTAACACTCGATACGGGCATCGAACAATTTGTAAATTGAATTGAGAAACGTGACAACCTAAAAATAAAAAAAGAAAGACAACGAAACAAAATTTATTTAATTGAAACAATAAAATTATTTGAAAAAATTAAAACAAAATGTTTTACCTCGAGTGGTGTATTCTCAGCAGCAATTTCAGTAAAACCAACAATATCGCTGAAGTAAACGGTCACTGCTTCGTAATATTCAGCTGGCACCTTGTACATAGTAAATCTTGATTTATTAATTTATTCATAAATTAAATATCCTATAGTTCTTTTTTTTTTGTGAAGTGAAAACTTCTTTACAATGGGAGTGATTTGAAAACGGATGCGACGAAAAAGCAACAGGTAGCAATAAACAAAACAAACAAACACTACGAATTATAGACAATTTTCTAATCTTTTATTACTTTTCATGTTAAAATACTAAATATTATTCTAAAATATATGCATAAGTAATTACAAAAATTATAGTTGAAAATTTTTATTATTATTATTTATAAAAATATTACGCCTGTATGGATGCAACCCTCCAGACACACTTTGAAAATGTTGCTTGCGAGCGACATCTGTTGAGACGAAATTTTTTTGCAGCCCAAACTGTTTATACACGCATGTATTACGGGTTGCCTATCTTACGGGCAGAACAAAAAATTCCGTCCCAACAGATGTCGCTCGCAAGCAACATTTTCAAAGTGTGTCTGGAGTGTTGCATATCTACAGGCGCGCATTTTTAATAATTATTAAATAAATAATTACAACAAAAGAGTAAAAATAATGTCATAATAATGTTATATAATAAATGATACTATGCACTCGTCTGATTCTCTCGAAACTTGTTTTTTTGAAGGTTTCACTTCTTACTCTTGTGTTTTCTTATATAATAAATAATAAATGATGATAATTTATATTATAATAAATAATATAGGATAATTACAATACCTGTTGTGTCTGTTTGAGTTGTTGTGCAACACTTGGTGGTAGCATTTGAAAAAGCAACGTGTCACTTTTTCTTTTTTCTCTCTTCAATTCGCGAGCTTTTTGTGCTAAATTGGCAGCATACATCTAAGAAAATCATATAGTTTGAGAGTTTATTTAATTTTCTTCATTATTATTTATTTATTTCTCTCTCTCTCTCTCTCTCTCTCTTATTTTAAATATAAAAACTTACTTGAATGGTGGCTACTGCATTGCGTACTAATATTATAATAATAGGAGAAACAATTAGGACCAAAACAACAATGGCTATACCAGCAACCTCCTTATTACTGGCATCCTGTAGAGTTAAATTAACATAGTCTCTGAAAAGTAATGATTTTGACTATATAATCGCATAATCGTATCATTGTAATAATGATAATTACAAATAAATAAGGGAAAAATAAAAAGAAATTTAAAATAAAAACCAAAAAAAAAAACAAAAAACAAACAAACACACATTTACCGTATCATGTGACGTAATTCGCGTTGAAGTTTACGAAGTTCATCAACGTAGGTTGCCATTGAATCAAAATAAGCAATGGCGTCTTCTATGCTAGGTTCACGTTTTTGATTGAGAAGTATTTCATCTCGCCTACGAATTAAACAAACGAAACGAGATTAATGACAAAATATTATTAATATTATAAATATATATATATATATATATATAAATATGTATTTATATACCTAGACTTGATCCTACCATAATCCGGCATGGTTCGAGTAAGCTCGTTATAAAATTGTTTTAAAGAAGGCACGTATGTGAGCGATCCGTTTAAAAGATCGCGTCCTAAAGCCTCATGACGTACATAACTAACATAATTGTCCTTTAAAAGTATTCCACGTCCAAAATAATTGATCCCATAAACTGAAGCGATGCCAAGGCTCTCGATGCTTCGTAGAAGATTTTTAAATGCTATCAAGTATCTATAAAAATATATATTAATTAACACTAGATAGTCATTTTGACTGATCGGTTGGGCCATTTTGATTCCAAATTTCTACTTCACACATGTAACATATTTGATTTCTGTAAATAATTAAGCGCGTTTTGTTATTTCAAAATATCTATAAATCCATTTATCTATTAACATTATGACTGTTAAACATTTTCTTTTTTGTATACATCAGTCATTTTGACTAGTGTGGTAGAAATAGGTATACACTGAGAATGGTGGTATATCTAGTGTTAAGTAAAAACAAATATACATAATTACGAATTTTTCATGTCTTCTTGTTATATATTAAGTATATACAAATAATAAATATAAATGATGAAAAGGTTAAAAAAAACTAAAAATACCAAATCAAATAAAAAGAAAACTCACCTCCATACACCGCTATTATCAGTTTCTTTTATCTGATTGGTCAAATGGTCTAACATGGCGGCATTTACGCTGGTGTACCAAGCCAAAACTTCCTGTATACTACTCTCCTCCGAGCTTATTTTCTGTCTGAAATATTTTTACAGTTAATATGAGGTTTCTCTTTCTTTTTTTATTCATTCACCCCACTACCCTACATTTTTCATTCTCTTATAACGAGAAATGAAATTGAAAATGTTTCCTCCACTATTCTTTTTCCCGCCAAAACAAAAAACTGAAGGAAAAAGAATAAAAAGATTAATAAAATATTAGTTTGCAATCACATAAAACCATATTTTCTATTTTCTATTTATTTCTTTATCCTTTTACTATATATATATATATATATATATATATATATATATATATATATATATATATATTCGTTATTCATTTGGATTGTATTGTTGTAAAATAAAACTTCCCATATAGATTATATATACAATATATCGCTTTTCTATTTCACCATATATTGAAGGCTATTTGCCAAACTCTCTTTATGAGAGAAAGAGAGAAAGAGAATATCTAAAAATACATCACATCGCTCCAAATGAGCGGTCACGCGCTCATGCGTTATAACCTCATATACATGTTGCATATATATATATGTATTAAATACGTATATGAGGTTGTATAGATGATAACAGAAATAAAGATGGAAAAAATAAGAAAAGCTCCCCCCAAAAAAAAAAAGTAGAAGAAGTTGAAGTTGAAGACGAAGACGAAGATGAAGAAGAAGAAGAAGTGAAGTTGCAGTTGAAGTTGAAGATGGAGATGAAAATGAAGAATAAGAAGTTGAAATTAAAGATGAAGATGAAGTCGAAGAAGTGAAGTTGAAGATGAAAATGAAGATGCAGATGAAGAAGAAGAAGAAGAAGAAGAAGTTGAAGTTGAAGAAGAAGAAGAGAAGTTGGAGTTGAAATTAAAGATGAAAATGAAGATGAAGAAGAGGTTTTTTCATATTGACAATTTATTATAAACAAACCATTATGCTTCCTTATTGTTAGTATACTGATCTATTATAAATATGTATTCTATTCTTATCTTCTTTAGTATCCTATCTTTTAATATCTATATCGTTCTTTTTCTTATTATCCCATTTGTTTTTTTCTTTCATTCGTCATTTCAAGAAACTCGAAGATTCTTAATAGTATGTTACCAACGTTATAAGTTGTTCTTTATAGGATCGTCAATATCATTTCTATTATCTTCTTTTCTCCTATTATCTTATAGTTATATATATATATATCACATATATATATCTTTATATATAAATGTATATATATACAGGTTTTGTGTTTATTGTACGTATGCATGTATGAATGTGTGTCTTCTTTTACTTATGGGATGTGTATTTGATGTCCTCTGTTTGTATTTATTATAGATATTTGGATCTGTGTATGTGTGTATGTTTTAGATATATACGTAATTGGAAAATAATAATCGGTCCCACGTTGCTTGACATTTAGTTCTTTTCTTTTTTTTATCCCTTTCTTTTTCTCCTTTTCCTTCCTTCCTTCCTTCCTATTTTTTCTTTTTTTTTTTTTATTCATCGATAAAGAGAATTTATCAAAGGGAACAATATGACGTCCAATGACTGAAATA